TATTGCCCTTTCAGCCGTGCCTGACTAACAATACAGAAGTTACAATGACGCGGCTCATGTGAACTCATGTTACCGTAATCAATAATATAAAACTGACCTTTAGTCTTTAAAAAGTGACATGTCTTGGTTTGTATTTAAGTGGACTAGTATTTTGTAAAATACAGTCACATTTCAATTACTACTGTGACGGATTTGTTATTATATATTTATTTTAATATCAACGTTTGTTTAGATTAAGTTTATATTTAGAAATATGCATAGCTTATAGTGATAAATATGTATTGCGAAACTCTCGCTTATTCTCCAAAGTTGTAGAAGATTCTCGAGAGCAAGAATTAACAATATATATGTGTGTGTACGTAAACGCTTGTGTTAGCGTCAGTATTGTTACGTAAAACTGAAATTTCGAGAAACTCTCCACACGCCTATAATTATAACCAACGCGACGCGCCAAAAAAGAGTATCTATTATTGGTTTGCTTTAGTTGGTGTGCTATAAACTTCGGAAGCTATAACTGGTATTGTTGTAACGCTTATTAATCGGAATACTTAAGATATTTGACAAAGAAAGTTTATAAATTTCGAACATTACAAACCATTTAACTTCAGTGGATTCAAATGCGTCATTAGTACTTTTACGAAAACATTACCTAACGTCATTGGTGGAAACTCGACCTGTAATCGGCGTATGATCAGCAAGAACTACAGGGCTAGCTAGCTCCCTATTAAGTGAATTATACCTACACCAATTCAAAATTAACTCGCTCGTCGTGAGCCCCCGATAAGACATCAAGAAAGTTTCAAACCAGAAAGAAGATTTTATATTATTTGTAAGTTTGTAAAACTTTTGTATATAATTCATTGTTTGTAATAACTATTTATAATAACTGTTATTGTAAATTATATCATTGTTTATATATTCAACATTTGTATTAAAAAATAAAACTGTGTGTATCAATCCTGTTGGCAAATATCATAAATTGGAGAAATATCGGCAAATATTTAACTACTGAATTTAAATTATCATTTAGCTCGGTTTCAGATCATTCGAAATTGTAATACGTAAGATAATACAGAACAAAGAAAACACACAGGCAACAATTAGAAAATAGGATAAAATATCTGAAATATATTGAATTTTTTAAAGAAAAGGGGGAAGCTATTTGATCTACATCATTTAAAAATCATACATGGAAATGAAAAAGGAAATGAATACTGTTTAATGAAGATGATAAAAAATATTTATAATAGACTGTAAAGGATGGAATAGAACAAAGTTTGTGACAGGACAAAGAGATGTTTGAATAAAAGATAGTTTTTATGCAATACATTAGAAGAGAAAATCACCGAAGACAGTTAATTTCTCTAATATATATATTAATCTTACTATGTTGATAACTTACGAAATTGACTTTATTCAACTATTTTAGTGTAAATATAAATCTTAGTTAAATAACCAACAGTTATAATAAACAGTAATAGTTTTTAAAAAAAATTAAGATTATTTTATTGATGATACGTATTATAAACTCCCCTTTCTTCGATCTGTAAATGAAAAAATAGACTTGTATTATCTCTATGTCTCTCTGTCTATTACGTTCTTATTATCCTAAGATATTATCCTATTATCGTACAAAAAATAACTATATATCAAAATGCTTCTTTGTAAGGGTACATTACAATAAAATTATTATTATTTTTTACAATTTCTAAAATGTTTATATCCATATCAACCTCGATTCGTCAGTTTTATATGTGCTGAACGGTCAATCTGAGAAGAAGAAAAACTTATTAAGAGCAAAAATGTTTCTTTTTGTGAGGGAAATCCACGAAAAAAGTGAGACTTCCTCTGTCGATTGATTCAAAGAAATATTTTGAAGATAGGAGCATGAACGGAAAAAGCATAAAGAGTGGAATGTTTTTGAGTACATATTTGGTGTTCCTTATATGTATATATTTATGTTAGTATTACATACATGCATGACTGTTATTTTATCATATCGAATAAATTGAATATCTCCCCTTTGTCACATTTCATAGAAATGTCAACTGTCAAAAAGCGCTCATTTTCATAGCGGTCTTTTCTTGCACTCAGAAAACGACAAGGAAAGGTGGCATCCAGCAGAAAAAAATCCCTCAGCTACTTAGCGAACCTGAGTGATCTATTGTGCTGGATGCACCCATTACATCGAAACCCAAATATTTTTGCCAACATTGCATTACAATTTTTGCTATTGAAATAACACATGGAATGACAAAAGACAATTGTAAACGGCCTACTTGACAATCATATTACATATATGCTCTGATCCAAGAGGTTGTGTTGACTGCACATTTTTAATTTAATCAGCATTATTTTTAGGAAAATTACCGTTGAATAGTTTCAACGTGCACTTGATAGTATTGTACAAATGAAAGTTATATGCTCCTAGAGGTTTGTTTGTTTTGAATTTCGTGCAAAGGTACACGAGGGCTATCTGCGCTAGTCGCCCCTAATTTAGCAGTATAAGATTAGAGGGAAGGCAGCAAGTCATCACCACCCACCACCAACTTTTGGACTACTCTTTTACAGCTTGGCCTGGCATGGCCAGGTGGTTAGGGCGCTCGACTCGCAATCTGCGGGTCGCGATTTCGAATTCTCGTCTCACCAAACATGCTCGCTCTTTCAGCCATGGGGGCGTTATAATGTGACAGTCAATCCCACTATTCGTTACCTAGAGGAACATGGTGTATAATCTTTTAAAATTAGATATATCTTGCATTGTAATTGTATATGTAGTAACTTAACAGTTATGTAGTACCAGTTTATTATCTCGCATTGTTGTAATTTTTTAATAAAAACAGGCTATACTTTTACACCTTACTTATACATTACGGTGGTATTTATTTACAGATAAATTTTCGGGTGAAAATTTCTAATACTCTCACCCTCTAATTGTATTCCAATATATAAGAAAGCCTCACATGTCAAACTTCATCAATTGTGGACCATATTTAGAAGTTGTTTAATGAGGTTGAAGTTTTAGACTGCAGTGGACTGATACCGTATGTACTATTTGATATAAAAACTAACATAATGTTAATCATATTACATTGTGAATATCCAAGAAATAAATCTCGCAACGATCAAATTGAACAACCTGTGAAACAACCCTAATATCAATCCTATCCTACTGTGAATATCCGAGAAATAAAACTCACAACGACGTAACTAATCTAGTAAGACTTGGGTAACCATTCTATTGTCAAGGTAACTGAACTATGAAACATTCTAATATCATGATATCAGCCTGAGGTTAATTGGATAAAAAACAAAGCAAACAAAACAAGATGATAAAAGAATAAACTGTCATAAGTTTATCTGAACTGAGAAAACACGCGAAATAATATTGTTAAAGAATGAGAAAATACCTCTACTAGATTTAACCGAACCAATAAAGTACCAGATGGAAGACCAACAACACTAACATTGATCTAACTACAACTTTAGTCCAAACCAACCGCTAGTGTTTCC